CATGTTACGATGTAAAAAATAACATTAAGTGGATTGTAAGAAGTATCATTGAAATTTATCAAACAAATAAAATAAGCTAATGAAATATAAGATTACTAATGTTTTAAAATTACAGAAGTAAGAATACATGATTCTACTTGTAATTACGGAGATCTATCTATAACTAATCAAAAGTAATATCTATATCTATAAAAGAGGAACTATGTATGAATGTATGTGTGTATATATCTATATACGTTATGGACTCCGAAACCACTCGACAGATTGTAATGAAACTTTCAGGCATTATTAAGCATCTTTCAAGGATGGTTCGAGTGAAGTTTGGTGCAGATCCGTCAAAAGGGCTCTGCCCTAGAGGGTTTTAAGTGGGCCAATATCAGACTTTTTGATCTACAGTGTTTACAAGCATGTTTCTTTAAAACCTTTTTTTCTCAGCTTGTGTGCATCGCAGGGTAAATCTACGCATACTGTTGGAAAGATATTTACCTGTAGATGTGCAGAATCCCTTTATCAATATTAAAATAGGCTCAAAATTAAGCACAAAAAATTCATTTAAAATTTTGAAAAAATTAAGATGGATCTTATGGGTTTCCATGCTGGTGACGAAATAACAACGAAATATTAACAGAAAATCTAAACAAATGGAAGAAACTCCAATCACATGTTTTATTCACAGTGTTGGATGAAATTAAGAAGTCTGAACATTAAATATTTGTTGTCGAGTTTCGACCACTGGACGACCTCTAGTAAATAAATTTAAAAGCAGATGTTTACTTTCACCAACTGTTTTGTAGGTTTGAATAATCACAACATTCTGTATTAGCATTAGTCATGATTTGAAATAGTGCCACAGTGTTTCTACAGAGTGCAACACAGAAAACTATTTTACTTTTGAATAAGTCCAAATGTACTAAACCCCAAGCGCAGCACACCTGTGCACTCAACAACGTTTAAATTCTCCAATGTTAAATATTAAAAACATAAAAACCTTTATCAAAGTATTATAAACAATAAAAGTGATGACAATGCCTTCATATTATCTTTATCTTTCGTTCTATACCCACACAATCTAACATAAATTATTAAGATAATAATAATCGTGCGTACTATCTCGGGTATTCATTGTCATCAACCCACCACATTATTGTAATTAAAAGAAGGAACTCCAATAATACTAATGCGAAACTTAAATCCACTTAAGCTGTACAACGTTACCAGACTAACGATTAAAAAAATGACGTCAAAATTGATTAAAGCAAAAATTATCAGTGGTAGGTAAAGGGAGAAATAGTCTTAATCATAAGAATACTGATGATTTCATTCGAATTACCCTCTGAATTTAAGCAACTACAATTTCCTTAGTGTCTTGCTTTCGCAATCACCATTATAAGGCACTAGGGCAATCCCTGACTATCGTCGGTTTAAATGTAGAAAAAACATGTTTTTCACACGGACAGATGTATTTTATTAGCGCAGCAACGAGCAACGCGCCCCGGGTAACTGCTAGTTTTATTATAAATTTAGCTCTGAAAAAAAAATTAATTTTTATTGGAAAGAGTTTGTCAAGATAAACTAGGATTTAAATCACTAATTGTTTGGATCTCTCCAATTAATAATAATATTAAGTAATAATTTAATAATTAATTGACAAGAGGCAATATAACATAATCATATAAAATGTCACATGTCGATGTCAATCATATGAGAGCTCATCACATATGTATTAAGAGTCAATCATTCCAATGAGATGAATGACAACTTTTACTTTTATCAGCATCGACAGTGGACATTAATTCATTTGTGACAAAAATGACAAACATTTAACATTTTTTTACTGTTGGTGCATTAGGCATCTAGAATTGGATTTTTTTAGTATTTCATCTTGTTAGTTTTGATCTTTTTGAATTTAAGTTTTTTTACCACTTACTGTTTGGATGTAAAATACTGTAAATGTAAAAACCAATTTTGGCTTAATATTACATTTAGTTTTAGTCAGCATTTACTATACAAAAGCAAAATATGAATGTTAAATAGCATTTTATCTCTTGTGTTAACTTTTTCACATAACACCGTAATCAAGTTTTAAGTCTTTCAAATTGTACATGGAATAAAACTAGTTTACATAATATAATCATGCAGGTCTTTCGTACTAAATATACACGTTCAAAATATTCAATATTTTAAGTTATTTTTTTGACTGGGTAAATAAGTTGATTTTTTTCATATCTTTTTTAATCAAACTTTTGAGGTTTAAAAATAAATCGGATTAAAATTAAAAAAAGCTAAGCAACGCGTACTATAAGATATTGATGCTTTTAAGTATAATAATTGATTAATTAACTCTCAGCAGAGTAAAGTATTTTACCAATTGTTTTCGTTAGTTGAAATATTATTCCTCATATTTTATAATTTTTAAACAAGTTCAGATGTTAGCTCTAGTTTGACCATATTCCAATAAATGAGTGAAATTTTAAGAGCTTTGACTGAAGCTAAGAATTACTTTAAGCTGGAAAAGACTTTTGATTTAATATATTTTGTGAAAATAATATTTATGACCTAATGATACAAATATTTATTATTTCACCTAATGAGAATTTAGACTTAACTCGTTCGCTGCGGTTGTGTGATGGCCGGTTGGGGGAACAGCTAATGTGCTGAGTGTACGATCACTGAGTTGGCCATTTAAATTTAATTTAATTACTTTCATTGCTCTGCAGTGGTTCCGCTCTTTCTTGTCTGGCCGTTATCAAAAGGTTTCCATAAATAGTTCCTCAGGTCCGATCTCATCGTCCTACATGCTTTCTCAGCGAGGGGTTCCCCAAGGATGCATTCTCTCTCCTATTTTATTCCTATTGTATATCAATGATCTCCATTATGAAGGAAATGACTGTCACATGAATTTATTCGCTGACGATGTAGCACTTCTAACCAAGGCCCCAAATGCAACCAGCTTAGAGAACAGCTTCACTTCGGTCATCAAGAGCTTAAATAGTTGGTTTGAGTACAATGGTCTTCTCCTTAACAAAGACAAAACACAATGTCTCAATTTTGGTCTGATTGGTTCGTCTCAGAATAGTCAAAGTAGTCCTGCAATGCAGCTCACTAATCCCTCATTGACCACAAAATTCCTAGGTGTCATTTTTGATTCCTCCATCAAATGGTATAGTCACGTGCAAAGTGTTGTTAACCGCACCAGTTCTGCTCTGTTTGCCATTCGAATTCTCAGTTCAACTTGTAGCAGGGAAGTTCTAGTGGACGTCTATCGTGGATATTGCCAAAGCATTTTACGTTATGGCATTGCTGTTTGGGGAAGCTCTTCTGATTTGGAAAGAATACTTAAGCTCCAAAAAAAGATTCTGAGGCGCATTTTCGGTCTCTCCCATCGCCATCCTTGCAAGGAAGTGTTCAAAGATTCTGGCATCCTTACAGTACATTCGTTGTACATTCAGCAGGTCCTCATTTTGACCTATGTCAACAGGGGTCAATTTCAACATCTAGGGCATTTCCATGACCACCGGACGAGAAATGGAGGCATCCTCTGTTATCCGAGGCACAGAACTGCGGCCTTTGAGAGGAGTCCGTTTTACAGGGGAATCGAATTTTTTAACAAATTGCCTCAGGCAATAAAATCCCAAGACTCTTTGTCCCTATTTAAGAGACACTTAAAATATTTTCTAGGCTCAAATGCTGTTTATTCCGTCTCAGAATTTCTAAGCCTATAATGTGTAAATATGTAGATTCTCATGTTGTATGTTTTAGTTTTAGTTTGTAAATATTGACGTTGCATGATATTTGTTACATGTTATTGTATACAAATCTAATGTGCAAATAAACTATTTGATTTGATTATTTGATTTGATTTGATTTGATTTTCATTCAATAAGAGAGGCATATTATAGCATGTATTGCGCTCCAGTAGTTGTGGAAAAATTATACAAGAACCCAACAGGATATCAGCACTAAAATAGTGCTAACAGGCCCTCAGAATTGCCAAATAGAGAGAAAAAGCAGGGCGAAGTACCCAGTTACACCATCAAAAAACTGCAAAAAAGGTGCAAAGCACAATTTTTTGGTTAGGTTCTTCCACAATCTTACACTACAGTCATTATCATATTCCATGTCACAAAATCTAAGCCAAAATCTCACACTACCCTCTTCAAAAAGCACTGACACAGTAAGATACATAAATGACCAATAATAAATGATGAATGAGATACAAAAACAAATTGCATTTCACCAAAATTACGTACAAAACCGGCATGACACGCGGCAATAATAATGTTCCCTGCTGAATGCTTGGCTCACACCGAGGCAATGAGTGTATGGAGTACAGTGCTACATTTATAATAGGCCATGTGCAGTGATAGTTTTCAGGTACTACAGTTATAGTAGCCCGCAGCGAATGTGTTAATGAAACAGATCCTACTAAATAAAGTAAAACGCACATTCAAAGATAGAAAATGTATTTATTTCTTTTACTACCATGTACACAAAATGTGATGATTGTCATGTAACTGCATTGGTGTTTATAAACATAGACTGGCATCACACTTCATAATAAAGTGTTCCCAAATGTAAAACCACAAACTTTTCAAAATAAAATTTTAATCCTTTTTAACTGATATAGAAAATAAAAGTTTCAACCAAACTGTTAGAAACCCCCAAAATAATGTAGTTAGTAAAAATTAAATAACAAAAGAACAACAATAGTTTCTACATACTACATTCAGTAGTTTATTTACAGATTTGTAAGTCAAATAAATACTAATATAACTAAGCAATTTCTTGCTAAAACTAGAAACTAGAATAAATAAGATCCATTTAAAGTAATTATTTTCTTGGTACAGTCTCATTTAATAAAATTTGGCATTTCATTAAATATGTAAAAAATAAAATGACAATAAGTATATTTCATTCAACTTCAATCAGTTTCTCAAAAAAAAAAAAAAAAAAAATTAAAAAATTATTAGTTTACTTAAACAAACCATAAACCTGTTTTTATTAAATAATAAATAGGTCTACTTTCCAATGAAAAGTGATAAAATATGATGCTGAGAAAGAAATTCATATTTTAAATGTTTTAAATCAACATTCTATAGAGACAAAGCAAATATTCAACTGTCTGATTGCACAGCAAAATTGTTAAACATTTAGAAATTTAACAGCAAAATAATTTCTGTACTTTATCATTCACTAACATGATCAATTTGAGAATAGTGTGACAGACTTTACTAACATAAATAAATGTGAATAGCATTTTCTCATCATGCAATCTCATAATTTAGTACTTTAAATAGCATTTTCAAACTTTAAACACCTTGTACTATAATTATGTGTTTAACTAAACAACAAATAAAATTAGCTTCTGCATATGACGCCACTCCAGTAATTAAGAACAACAAATAAAACCTGTATCATCAGACGGCCACCTCGTGATCTTTTTTTCCATTACTTATCCTATGAAAATTTGTAAGAAAATTATAAACATTTCAAAGTAAACATAAAACCAGTTATTTTACTATGAGTTGGAACTCAATTGCGTTACCTAAAACCTCTAGACCAAAGGCTGGAAAACAGCTATCAAAATCCACCAGTATTTTTTTGTACAGTGTCAAACTGCAATATTTCAAGAAATAAATTAAACCAGCTCTCTTGAATACCACAAGGTTAGGAAATACGTCCAACTATTTTGAAGTCATGAAGCTGACTCTATGTTCCCATAACAACTAATAAACATAAACAAGTTAATAAATTTGAGAAAAGTAACTAAAAAAAGTTACTTTCATTTAGAAATAAAAAAGAAAAACAGATCAAATTACTGTTAAGGTTAAGTTAACATTACTGGTAGGAAAGACCATATTTCTGTGTAACACTCGGCGTGTGAGCCGACGCGACGGAGAGCAGAAGAGGAACATCGTTGGCGTCCAGGTCGAGTGTGGCAGTGAGAGACGCCATGTCTAGAAACTCAGCAGAGAGCAGCAGTTCAGCTAACGCTTGACTTCTAACACATAACTCTTGTAGTTTGGTCTCCAGGTGAGATAGACACTGAAACACAAGTCACCTGTACTTATGAGACATTGAAATAAATCAAATTACTGCCGCCACAGCAAACCTAAAGACAAAGCTAATTTCCAGTTGTCTGATTGGATTTTTACTAAAACATTTCCTGGTACATATCAGTTGTTTTAACAGTTTGGATAACAATAAGTTTAACAAGTACTCGGCTTTGCTGCTATAGGGAATATGATAGGTGTTTTTTTTTTTTAGTAAAATGTATTGGCTGAGTATGAAGTTTCCAAAATATGTCATTTTGACAAGAGCATAGTAATTAAATATGTTCAATTATTTTTAATTTTCTCTGTGACCCATTAAGCGTACAATGATGATTAAACATCAACATTTTTGAAGCTGGTCAGAATTTTGCCGCGGTTGCAGATGTTAGCTTGGCCCGGGAGACGATGATGATGTCTACTGAGATGCAGATCATGAGAATTTCGCCTCGATTGCGGTGTGTAATGATGATGTCCATACAACCTCAGGAGATGATAATGATGTCTACACGGCTGTTGTTAATAATGAGGATTCGTCTTGATCACAGACGACAATCACGATGTTCCTATTACCCTGCCATGCCTCCAAGGGGGAGACTATAAGAAAGTCTACACGACTGCGGGAAATTATCAGAATTTTGCCACAATTGCAGGAGATAATGATGATGATGACGTCTACACGATCTCAGGAAACTATCAGAATTTTGTCACAACCGTGGGAGACAACAATGCAGTCCACAAGGCCAGGGGAGATGATCAAAATTGTGCCGTGGTAGCGGAAGACGACGATGATGCCCACACGGCTGCGTGGGATCATCAGAATTTTGTCATGATCATGGAAGACGATGATAATGTCCACATGACCGTAGACTTTTATGATTTTTTTTGCGGTAGCGGCAGACAATGATGATTACCACATGACTGCGGGAGAGGACGAGAATTACTCTGCGGTTGCAGAAGACTATAAGGATTTCTAAACAACTGGATGGGATATTCAGTATTTGACAGTGACGATGATGATTTTTTCGTTACCAATGAGGGATATTCAGGATTTTGTCGCAATCACAGAAAACAGTAATGATGTTTCGGTGACTGGTAAAGATATCCAGGATTTTGCAGAAGACGATGATCATAGTCTACATGACCTCAGGAAATGATCACGATATCACCTTGAGGTTGGCATGGTTGAGTTTAGCTTTCTGTATCAAGAATAAATCAATATTGGTATCGAGCCGACAAATTAGTCAAATGGCATGTAAAATAATATTTTTCATAATGCAAATATGTAGCTCAATTAAATGCACTAACTTTGAGAAAAGCTGAGGTCTAAATTTACTTTCCACCTCAAGTTAGCCAATACTCACCACTGGCGCAGGTATAGATAGTGCACAAAGATGCTGTGTAGTCTCCAACATGTTGGCTACTAACTGTGACATCCCCACCCTCACACCTGGTTCTGACCTCACCGAATGACTAGATACCAGCAACACTTCACTGCAACCATACACAGACATTAGCACACAACTTGCACTATACTCTGTTCACACAATTTAGGCGGTTTGAGGAGAAGTTCCCCACCACTTATTTTCGCTGTAGCCTAGGTTGCAGGTTATCAACGCTTTGGCGAACCTCAGCTGTTGAACTTATGTTTTAAAGGTAGGATCTGGAAGGAATACATTTCTTTCCCTAAAACCACCTTAACTTTTTTAATGGAATATAATGAACATAACTTTCATACAAAATACACAAGCTGCTTGTATTGTATTTTGGAGTTACTACATGATACTATTCACCTTTGTACTATTCATTTTCTTAAGTAGACATCCCATCTAGATATGGATGGACCACCTGTAGCAATTTTTTCATAAAAAATAATTTAGTTAAAATGAGCCTCTCACCTACTATAGTTTGGATAGGAAGTAAAAAGCTGGACAGTGGGTCTTCTAAATAAATATAAGGCTAAATAAAATCACACACAAATGTGTTACCTATTGAGAAGACCCTACTGTGCAGATAAGCCCGCTCTTCATATCTAAAAGAAAACCGAACCTATTCTTGTCTACATCCATTTCTATTGCAGAAGTCTAGGTCCACTTACCAAGTGTCTACATTGGCCACGATACAGACGACTTCTTCTCTGTCCCCGTCCTCCATGCTGTGAGCCTCCAGAGCCAGTGAATGTCTGAGGTCTGTCAGCCAGCCAGGAGACACTCTTGGCAGTCCCTGCAGCACCAACTCAGGGCTGTACTGCTCACTGATGCTGCCAAACATGGAGCTCGCTACACTCACCAGCCTTCCCTCGTCTACCACAGAGCTGTAAGTCGTAGTTTATTAAGCCTTTGAATTTTTTTTCGGTTCACATTACACTTAGGTGTGAACAGATGTGAGCTGTAACATTAAAATCCTTTTCACAGCTGATTTGGACTTAGGGGTGAAAGGACTTCGATATGCAAATTCTGGTTGATAAACCATAAGCCTTTGGTAAGAGATTTTTTACCTTCCTACTTCTCAGTTAAGCCAAGCTATTGTTGTATTTTTGTTTTATATTGTTATCGCACTTCGCCATCATTATTTAGGCTAATATAGAGGCCAATGTAAAATTAATTAAAATTTTTGTAATCCACATTGTGTGTCTACGATAAATTTGAAAGTCAGAACTTTTGATAAGGCAAATCATATTAGATAGGCTATTCATTATAAAACGATTTTCTACATTACACGCTACGGGTACATTTAGGTACTTGTGATTGCCGATTAAAGTGTTTTTGTTTTATTATCATTTCATATTCTTGTTGTTTTGTACATGTGCTTATTTTTTCTCCTTTGTTAATTCAACAATAGGCTAAGTATTGTAGTTTATCTGTGATTTATGTAAAAATGGTGAATCTGTATTAAATTAAATTAAATACTTTTAAGCGAGTTAAAAACTTTATCATGGAATTTACAGTAGGCCTATATGCCTACCATGGTACCGGTAACTGTAAATTAAATGGTAATAGGAATGGTTTCAATTTCAACCTCATACAAAATCTTAAAACCTTTTTGCTACACATTAAATCTAACCTTTATATTCTGAATTTATTGATGGAAGGACTTAAGCTTAAGATCAAATCTGTTGTTTTGATAACCAAGCAATCTTATCAATCTATGCAATCTATGGGGCATGGTGCCCATAAAAATTTGGGATTTCTTTTCATTTTCACTTCTTCACAGTTTTATATATTTATAAATTATATTAATATTATTAATATGGATACAAATTATAAATTACCTTGAAAATGGTAGTTCGAGATACTCCTCAGCTGAAGAAACTGTGGAGCTCTCCACAATCACTTGGGGGATTTCATAACTACTATCAATCAAGTTTTCAACACTCGCTTTTGTGTCTACAACAGAATCTTTCAAAGATCTGTTACTAGTCCTAAACACTTCTGCGTCTGAATAAACATTTACTTTTAATTTACTATCAGTATTTACACTAGGAACTAAAGCACACATTGGTTTACTAGACATCCTCTCAATAGCACTGTCACTGAACCACTTCCTAATAATCTGAATCATCCCTTTACTTCTTCTTCTTCTCTTTGTCCAGTTCTTTTCTATAGCAACTTCCTCAGGAGCACTTAGACAGCGAGGTCGTTGTAACGGCCTTAACGTCTTTGACTCACAGACATCTTCTAACTGTATAGAGGTTGAGTGACTTACCACCACTCTACTGCTAACTTCTCCACTGACAAACTCATTTTTCTCTCCAATATTTAGAGTTTCCGCATCAGCATCGTTGACCAATATAATCGGAGGAGTCGGATGTAGGCTGTTGGATGTTGTTGACGGTGATGTGAAGAACTCTGGCACGTTAGCTTCATCCTGCCCTTTGATATTAACCAGTTCCTCGTTCTCTCCCAAGACGAAAACGACCTTGCTTGCTTTATCTTCAGACTCTCTAAGATCAGCCTGAATCAAATTTTCTTTTATGAAAGAATTACTTTTCTCATTATCTCGTTTGAGCGAGAGTTTGGAATTGGTTTTATTCATAGCATCTAGCACGAGAGGTGATGTAAATTGTTTTTCCGATTCAACTTTCACAAACACACTGTGATTGGTTTCAATACATTTTATAAAAGAAGACTCTGTCGAATCCAAGCTCATTTTCACCCCGTTGTGCAACTTCTTTCCATCTGCTATTGTATTTTGAGAAAAGGACGTCTCCATCAAATTAGCTGTACTTTTAGTTTTGCCAAACTTTGACCCTAAAGAGTTCATTGACTTTATAATTTTATTTCCGTCCTCGTAGCTTTCGCCAGAAAACTCGTTGCAAGATTCAAAGCCACTCTCAATGCTGTTTGCGTTGTCTGCATCAGCGTCGACTACAGAGAACGTCTTCATGCTCAACATGGTTTTACACTTTGTCAATGTTGACGACGATGACTCTGTATCGTCTAGTGACCCGGCTTTACTGAACTCTCTAATCGCGTCTTTGTCGAACGAACAGTTCTCAAGACTACTTTCTAGCAGATCCTCGAGGTGGTTTTCTTCCCCAGGAGGTACTTCTCGCTGCTGGTCCATTGCCTTGACGTGTCCGCAGCGTATGAAGTAGCTCAGTACCGAGAGTAGCTGCTGTATCAGCACCTCTGACTTGCCCAGAACCACAGTCTTGGCTATCTTGGGAGGGTAACCCAACGCACCCTGCAGATCACTCAACTGAGCCCACAGCTGATTGTAGGGGTGGTTCTTAGACAGCTCAGTCAGCTGAAACAAACATCGTCAACTTCTTAGGGCAACACCAAAAAGCCTGATGCTCTTCAATCCTCTACTTACTACTCACTCACTCTTCATTTTTTACCAAATCTATTTTTAGGCCTAAACAGGAGCAAGATGATGTGTTTTATGTTTTTAAGGCACAAAATTATTATTTTTTAGTTTTGCTTCAAGGATTTATGAGTAGGTTTATTATCTAAATTTTTCCTTCCTCATATTTTGTACCTTATTGTTTAACAATACTTTACTAAAGAAAAGTTACATCCAAAACAAAAATAAAATGCAAAACTTCAAACCCTGTAAAGCAATAACTAATAAGTTGTCTTTTAGCGAATTTCCCATATAGGGAATAAGCTATTACCGTAGTACTCATGGTAAGACCTGGACGCGGGACCGATTTTTTTTTCGTTTTGAGTTCCTTAGAGGCCAAAAACACCATCCGTTCAAATTCACATATATATATATATCTTACTAATATTATAAATCTGAAAGTTTGTGAGTTTGTGTGTGTGTTTGTGTGTATGTTTGTGTGTGTGTGTGTTGCTCAATCACGCATAAACTACTGGACGGATTGGGCTGAAATTTGGCATGATGATAGCTCACATTCCCGATTAACATTAAAGCATATTATTATCCCAAAAATCCTTTCGGGCTCCGCCCCAGTGGCTCTGTAGTTCCCCATGTTAACCTTATGGTTTTTCATATTTAAAAGGAATTAATGAATATTAACAGCTGTTTCAATTAAACAAGTTGGTTCTGTTCTATGATGTTCAATAGCATAAAAGTTACAAAGATTACCAACAGAGTGCAGCACTATTATTATTTTTTTTTTATTTATGGCAACAGCTAATTTCCAACCAAAAGGTGAGTGAGCGTAGCGAACGAACTTCAACCTGGAGGCGAGTTAGCGTAGCGAACGAGCTAACCTGAAGGCAAGTGAGCGCAGCGAACGAGCTCCAACCCAAAGGTGAGTGAGCGTAGCGAACGAACTTCAACCAGGACGTGAATGAGCCATGCGAATACTTATGAAGTTACAGTTGAACGGGGCAAAGCCCGCGGGTACAGCTAGTATATTTATATATGTGTGTCCGTCAGCACGATAACTCGAGCAAAAATGATCCGATTTTGATGAAATTTGGTACAAACGTGTAAACGTACGTTTATTCGAACGAGTTCGCGATCCAGCATGATCGGACCATTGGGAACGGGGGTTTACGGGGGGTTTTATGGGGTAAAAATAGGTTTTTCCCATTTTTGACCCAAAAAACATAAAATTTAGCAATTTCGTTCCAAACCATTTTGTGGAGCTTAAAAAAACAAATAATTTAGTATATTGAAGCGCTATTATGCGCCTAATGGTTACGGAGAAAATTCCAAAAAATTGTAAATTTAAAATTCCCATGTTATTCTTATGGAGAATAAGTAAACTGTTGTAGTTTGCTTGTTTGTGAACATATTTTGATCAAATTTGGAAAATGTTTTTATTTCTTACTAACTATTCACATTTTACAAAAAAAAACAGTTTTACCCTCCCTGATGCAGCAAACCTAAGTACTTGTTAACTAATTCTATTTAAATCAAGAATAAATGTTATATTTTTAAGTAGACATTTCAGTGTAAATCCAATCAGTCAAATGGAAATTCGCTTAGTCTGCAGGTTTGTTGCGGCGGGGGTATTTTTATCTTGCTGCAATTAAACGAGTGATTATTTTAAAATGTAATAAAATATTAAGCAACACAGTAATTAAAGTGCCACCTTAAAATCGTAAAATTTCGAGTTGGGTCCAAAGTATCATCTATGGGCCTTTTCTAATTTGACTATCAATAATAATACTTTCTAAGGCAATGTTTGATAACAAAACAGGAATTTTCAACATTCCTCAAAAGAAACGGTAAAGCTGAGACACACAAACAAATAAAATTTAATACTGAAATCTTCCCATTTTATCCAAACACTTCAATTTAGCCTTGACAACATAGTGCAGTAGAAATAGGGTTTGAGGTGGAACTAATTGCAACAGAAATTATTCCAGTTAGAAATGGTAGGTAATACACTTATAAAAAACATACTAAAAATATACATTTGTACTGTTACGCAAAATACGGTTTTTTGGTCGCCATTAAAAAAAGTGTAAAATTTTAAATTAATGTTAAAAAATCTGGTTTGGTATCAAATTATAGAACATTTAATGCTGGAAAATAATATAATGGTTGAATTTAAAATATACTGTTAAGAGTGATGCACTAGGGGCGAAAAAAGGTGCGTTTAAAAACGTGGCATTTGAAAAGTTTTTTATTTATAAGTTATTTTATACTTTTAAAATTTGTTTTTTTTCATTTTTGACCCTTAAAACGTAAAATTTCCCAATTTCTCTCTAGACCTTTTTAAAGAGCTTAAAAAACAAATAGTTAAGTATATCAAAGGGGTTTTGTACGATTATTGGTAACGGGAAAATTCAAAAAATTGGAAATTTAAAATCATTATGTTATTCTTATGGAGAATATGGTAAAAAGTTGTAGTTTCCTTGTTTATGGATATATTTTGATAAAACTTTAAGATTTATAGAATGAACGAAGTGAATTCTCATACTGGTGTAAAATGCATCTCATGTAAATCCAAAAACTCGAGAATGACTACGTATATGAAGTTGATGTTTTGCACAAAGGTTCTTTATCATATTATCTTGGTTAAGTTCGTTATTGGAGATTATTTGTTCAGTAATAATTATAAAATCCTAAAAAAACCATTTTAATTTTCCCCCATAAGAATAACATTAGGAGCTACCTTCTTCTTCTTTTTTTGTTTACATTTGACGACCAACAACTTTGTTGTGAATTCTAGAGACCAAAGAGACCGAAGTGAATTCTATTATTTCTTTCATCCATGGAGTAGACAGTGTAGGTATATTATATTAGTCAATGGTTTTATATGCATAATAAATCTTTAAATTATAATTATTTAAACAAATATTCATCTGAGGAAATAAATATGGGATTTAAAAATATCCACTCAAATGTATTATAATCGATAAAAATATTTTAGGTATTTACATGTTTTAACTTTTTACATGTGTTTATGTTGTTTGTTTAGTAGGCTTGAAATTAAGACATTAGTCCTTGGGCCGAACTTCATCACTTGGGTGGCATGACGGATTTCTAAAAATAAGTGGTGTTAACATTGTCTTGAGCTTTTTATATTATTAATTTTCAATATTATTAATTATTGTTATAGCATACTATTAAATGCCTATGCCAATCAGATTTTTCTTAAAGAGACATTTTTTCTAACCATAACATAGTGTCTTTTTTCTTATCGTCGTCACGTCGTCGTCGTCGGTTCGGTTGTGTTTTCTTTTGTTTGTTGTGTTTTCTCTGTTGGTTCTTGGCTAGAGGCTAGGTGTTGTTTTGTTGGTTGTTGGGTGATGTCATATAAAATAGTGGAAGATTTTTGGGGTACAGTTTCTTAACTGGGCTACGCTATTATTTATTGAAACTACCTATCGATTCGATTAGTAAACCTTCTTGCGATTTTGTTCGCCCATGTCAATGGCAAAGATCTAGGCTGGCATGGCCATTGATTGGTTAGACTAAGCAAGGAAGTACCTAACTTTAATTAATCACTGTGTCTGGTTAGGCCTATGTGTTTGAAATATCAATCGTCATTGTTGAGATATGATCTTTCAAGTGTTATTGTGAAACTAGGCCTATAACTTAACGTTATCCGGCAGGGCCTAGGCCTAATTATAAGCTAAGTAAACTTAGATACACTAACAAATTAGGCCTAAAAGTTATCAAGTGTAACTGACAGAGTGTTCCCTATCAAGTTAGAGCCTGCAATCAAAGGTAATAGCCTACCTTGGCCTTTTCTACAGTCTTATTTAATTTAAGTTAAAAGGACCTAGGCCTAAGTTAATAGATAAATTTCTTATAAACTTAAACTTGGAGAAGTAAGCCTATCTGTGGCCTTAAGCCTGGTTTTTCTAGGCGCGGAGTGTGGAAAAGCGATTAGCAACGCTTAATAATTAACAACAATGCACTTCTAGGTAAACAGTTAAGTTAACATTAACTTAAACTTAAATGACTGTAAGAGGCCTACCTAAGGCAAGAGGAGTCTATATATAAGGTTACATTTCTTTACCTTGATCGCCAAGTGATCCATGTACCGTAAGTCTAAAAACAGGATTACTCACGTTTCGACATCGTCACAACACGACAAGCGTCATTGTAAAATCGTACAAAAACTTTCTAAACCATATGGTCACAGTCTTTCCGACACACACTAAAAACACATTAGGTACCGGTAGGCCTACCAAAATACACTTAAAAGTAACTTAGGCCTACTAACTTAACTAATTTGTGGTAAGGCGACAGATCTGTGGAAGCCTCAGCTTGCGAGCAGATCTGTCGTATTACCACAAATTAGTAACTTAGGCCTACTTTTAAATGTATTTTTGTTGCTCGGCAGTCGAGCCTCGGCATGCGAGCTTAGTTAGAAGCCTACTTTTAAATGTATTTTTGTACCGGTAATGTGATTTTTGTGTGTGTCGGAAAGACTGTGACGTGACCATATGGTTTAGAAAGTTTTTGTACGATTTGACAATGACACTTTGACGTCGAAATGCGCGTAATCCTATTCTTTGGACTTACATGGATCACTTGGCGATCAAGGTAATGTAACCTTCTAAATTTTAACATCAGTGATTCTGAAAACAACATACAACATGAAGAGGAGTCTGTGTATTGCACTCCGTTTCTGTGCCTAACTTAGGAAACTCCGGCTTATCAGTTTGTAGTAAAGTTTCCATAATTACTGTTCTAAAGCCTAAGTTAGGCTTGAAGCATTCATAGCTCAATCAGAATCTATAAATTGATTCATGTGACAGATTGTTCTAAAAGTCAGTTAGGCCCTAACCTCAGAATTTCTCATTTAGTAGGCCTAGGCATGGGTGCAGTGCCGGTAAAACCTGCAATATTTTATCAAATTAATAATA